TTCTGACTGTCAGTGAATGTGAGTGTGCTTGGTTGTCTGTGTAGCCCTGTGATAGACTGGTTACCTGTCCAGGTGTCCCCTGCCTTCACCCTGAGTCAGGTGGGATAGACTCCAGCCCCCCATGACCCTAGTGAGGATTAAGCGGTGTATAGATAATGGATGGATGGATGGATGTCTCTAAATGTAGTCGTCTTCTGTCACAGACTCATTCATACATACAGCAGAACAAGTCCGGCCAGAGAGGAAAGCACAGGTCAGCTAACAAAATCTGGACAAAGTGTGACTAAATCTGTTTTCTTCAGGCTGAGTGTGTCGGCCAACCAGAGGATCATCGCTCTGCCGCACGACAATCGACAAGTCCGTCTGTTCGACATGAGCGGAGTGCGGCTGGCCAGACTTCCTCGCAGCAACAGAATGGTGAGAGCAGAAAACAGCGGACAGGGACGTCATTATCACCTGCATCTTTACAAACAGAAACTAAAACCTGTGTGTGTGTGTGTGTGTGTGTGTGTGTGTGTGTGTGTGTGTGCAGGGTCACCGGCGGATGGTTTGCTGTACGGCCTGGAACGAAGAGAACCAGTCGTGCAACCTGTTCACCTGCGGCTTCGACCGGCAGGCCATCGGCTGGAACATCAACATCCCGGCGCTGCTGCAGGAGAAGTGATGCCACGGCGCCGGGATGCACACAGCAGACTGACTAGAATCCCTCCATGTATATACATACGGTACACATGAACACTTCGTCTTCTGTGGCCTCAGACATGCCAGCATGTTTACCCTGGGAAACATTTCAGTTGTAATTCACAGCTTTCACACAACAACCGAGCGAGCGAGCGTGAAAACCATTGTTACTTATCGCAGCTGGTCTTGTTTTCCATCAACACCGAGTCCCCACATACATTTTTTTTCTTACTTTTCAGAGCATCAATGATGGTGTGTACGAGGCCACAGAGCTGATCTCCTGCATTCGACCCTCTCACTCGTTAGCATGGATCGTGAATCGTGACGTGACTAGGCTGTTCATCCTTCTCTGTTTAGAAGTATATATCTGACTCCACGGTCACAGGCTGCTGTTCACATCACTGTTGTTTAGTTACTGCTGAACGGTCGCTCTTGCATGTAGAGAAACTTGGTTTGCGAATGTTACTTGTGAAGTTGTGAGCGGACGGTTATAAGGCCAGAACAGGACGTGTGTACATGTTACGCTGTGGCCTGATGTCGCAGGTTGTTGCTAGCTAAAGGATTTAGTGTCTTACCCGCCTCGCCAAGGCAGAGCTTTGCAAAGAAAGTGTGGATCTGTGAAATGTTTTATCCTTTCAGTCAAACTTCTTTCTTATCGTTGACCGAAACATATCATGTTCAGGCCTGCCACATTACCTGAGCAGCCAGCGGGCCGCCGGGTCATTCAGTTGTCTTAAAACGCTTCAAACAGGATCTCGTCTGGGAGTTTTGCCTTCGATGCTTTCAGGTCACAGCCAGCCTCCGTTATGTCCAGATGTCGTGGTCAAACTTGTGATACTGTAACTCTGCCTTGTTCCATGTTTACAGTGGACGTCTTCATTTAAACACGTTGCTTTATTCTGCCTTTATGTCGAGATGCAAAGTGTCAAGAAGAGCATAGCAATAACGAGGAAAGACTTCAGCCGTTGAGAGGTTCGTGACTGAGATGTGTTCAGCATAATCATCATATCCCGACACGTCGCCGGCGTCCATAACCTCCCCGTGTGTCCTCGCTGTCAGTGAAATATAACCCGTTGCCAACTCAGAGCCCTGTGTTGCTGTCATGTGTGATCCCAAAGTGAACTCGTTGTTTACTGGTCACGTGTGTGCGTCAGTAACGGCCTGTCGACATGAAGTTACCGTGTTTACTCTCTGAATCGAACCCTCAGCCTTGTACGACTTCTCGCACCTTTTGTTACATCGTCGACCCTTTCCAGTCTGTGAAAAGCGCTTTTTGTCCGAAAACAGAAGCAATAACCGAGCTCCTCGACGTTTCTGGTGCTCAGAGTGAAGCCCGTTCTATTTCTTTTTTTCCTTTTGATGAATCGGTTACTTGTGACTTGAATACACACTGAATCTCAGTTTGAGTTGTTTAGAATTGACTGGATTCCAGAAAACTATTTGTGCAATATCCTAAACATGAAGTCATGCTGTAGTTTTAACTTATTCCATTGCTGTAAATCCCATAAAAGAAAATGATTTTATGTACTTGTGTGACTGGTGTAGATGTAGCTCAGTGTACATAGGTATGCATAACTTACCCAAAAAACTCCAGTGAGCCCTCTTGACTTGCCGACAATAGAGTCAGGACGCATTCTGAAGTAGCATGAACCTAAAAAAAAAAAATGTAATGAACGTATTGAAATGCCTTACCACTGCATTAAAACCGGTGCATGAGCCTTATCCATCTGAGCATCAGTGCACTTCTCCAAACGCTTGTTAAATAACTAATTGTGTTCCCCGGCACGGCGCAGATAGGACTTTTATTCCTGTTTCATTCGGGGAACTCAATCTCGCGCCCACTGGTGTCGATGTCATTTTAATCTGCAGGTAGAACGACGAGTCCGATTTGCGCCCCGCTTATGAATTTCAACCTGGAGGAAATATGATTTTGGATTGATACATTAAATTATTGCGTGCCAGACTGTAGGGGGAGAAAAAAAAAGAAAAGAAGGTGGATAGGCTTCGCTTCACTGTAGCGAATCACATTCACCTCAAACTTCATTATGTGCTCTACTTTGCATACTTTATTGTGACGGGTACGTGCTCTCTGACACTTTCCAATAAAAATGTGTGATTTCCTTTTTCCAGCCTCTCGCGTCTCTTTTTCCATCTTATTTAACACAAATCCCTCTCACCCTTTTGTTCACTTCAATCAGATATGCATCTTTTTTTTGAAAATCACACGTTATTCATCCGGACGTACGGCTGGGATCTTGAAATAATGACGTCAAAGTGTTAATGAGACCATAAGGTGCCATTCCACCAGCACCTCATGTGACACAGACTTTAAGTTTAGTTTAGTTTAGTTTAGTTTAGTAAGTTTGTGAAGTTGTCCTCTGGCCTAAAGGAAGACAGATTTTTAAACATGCAACTAACAACAAACTAACTTATATCAGCTTTAAGGTTGATAAAACATCGTTGTGCTCCCAGCTTTTCCCCACTGACCACAAATGGCCAAAAAAACATCATTTTCTTGTGGAAAAACTTAGTAAAAACATAAATCTCTAAACAGAGCAGAGCCAGCTCCCTTTCCAACTGCTTTTTTGTAAGAGGTCACAAGCGGTTTCTCTTGGTGCACCGCTTCAACACTCACTCACTCTTTCTTTTACAATGTGCTGTCGGGGATCATTCTTGCTCAGTTTCACCAAAACACAGAACAGAGAAGCTTGGATCACAGCTCACAGAGGGTGTATGAGTTCAACCACTGCCATGTATGTAAAAGTCACCCTTTGCTTCGTGGACAGCCGTTTTAAAGCTTCAGGTTTGTCATTTTGCCGTCACCATCTTGCT